GGCGGATGGGGAGCCGGCCGCGGGGGGGGACTGGCACGGCTGCCCGGTGGGAGCTGGGGGCTTCGGGGGAGGGGATCATCCCCGGGGGCACCCGGAGGGTCCGGGGGAAGGGGTCAGCCCCGGGGGTCCGAGGCACCGGAGGGCTGCAGGCCCGGGAGCCCCGGGAGGGGACTGAGGCGGGATGATGACCCTGTCAGGGGACAGTGCCCTGGGCAGTGCCCAGGCAGGAGGGGCTTTCCCCTGGAGCTGCTACGTGTCTCCCATCCCCGTACCACCGGTCACTGAGGTTCATCCCCGAGCCCATTAGCTTCTGGGCATAAGCAGGGACCCAGTAGTTCAGGGCGTGTGTCCCGGGGCAGCAGTCGTGCTGGCGAGGCCCTCGCAGAAAGCCTGGTCTGGCAGCGGGTCCCCAGTGCCATGGCGCAGCACCGCATGAAACAAACACGTGAGTAGCGTAACTTTAGAAACTCGTCAGAAGCGCAGCACTTGCTCTTCTGCGACGCTCGTGGAGGTAGCCAGCTCTGTGCCCAGCCCTGACCGTGGCTGGGGGACGTGAGGATCTTGCTGGGCAGCAGGTTGGCACCGGGGTGGCCGTGCCCATCGTCCAGGGCCTGTCTCACGTCAGCCTGGGTTCATCACCTTGTGGTGCCGTCCCACCTCTCCCCTGAGGTCTCACCCGAGCTTGTCCCATGCTTTATCCTGGCTGCAGAGGTAGGAAGCACCTGCTGTTGCCCTTGGCCTTTGGGTGTTGCCTTTACTTCTTCCTCTGTCGCTGCTGTTTCGGCAGAGCTCAGGCCTTCCTTTCAGAGCATCCCAGGCGAAGGTCTGCGGGTGTCTGCTGGCATGGCTGTGCCCCCTCTAGTGTTGCCTGTACACGTTCCCTGTGCATCGTCTCACTGGCTGCATTGGTCTGGGTGCTTTGTGCTGCTCTGGTCCATGGCTTTGCCTGGGAAGGGCTGTGTCCTTGCCAAGCACTGCCTGGAAAGGGCTCTGTCCTCACCAAGCACTGTCTGAGGGCTCAGCTCATGGAGGAGATCTGAAGCATCCCCTCAGAGGACAGCCCAGCTCAGGGCTGGGAGTGATGATCCAAGCTGGAGGGTGAATTTCAGGTGGGAGATGTGGCTGGGGGGGGGCCCCAAGGGGGGGGGGGGTGGGGGGACCCCACGGGGGGACCAGCCAGCCGCTAGTGGCAGCTGGTGACATGGGGATGGAGCTGCTCTGCTCAGGCTTCAGCAGAGTACACGGGAGGGACGCAGGGTGGGAACCATGTGCCTCAAATGTGGAGGGTGTACCTGGGCAGCAGGGAAAACTGATTCTTGGGCTGGGGTGAGTGTTTACTCGGGTACAAAGCCGATGCATCGAGCCCCTTCTTCTGTTCAACCTCTTTATCTTTTGCTTATTTTCTCTTTTCTTCACAGGAGCAGTTTCTTAAGGGTGGGTTGTGGCAGATGCGCTGCATTGTCCTCACAACTCTAGCCATGGGGATGCTTTAGTAACTGTCCCTTTGCTGCTGTGCAGGATGATACTCCTTATCTAAGCAGCTCTGCTCTGACTCACTCTGCCCCAGGATTAGGATTTTGTGCTTGGCTTATGCCAACCAAAGTCTGATTTGGGATCAGCCAGTTCAGCTGATCAAGCTGGAAACCCAATTTGGGAAGGGTATAAGGAGGAGAAAGGCAAGGGCCACCCCTTTCTGCAGAGGCACGGATTTAGATCAGCTTAAAGCCATCACGGAATGGCACCGGCGCTGTCTCTCCTGTGTCTATGGCATCGAGCGAGGAGGGACTTGCTGCCTCTCAGCTCAGGTACCTCCTTGTCCTCTGGCTGCTGGTGTGGGAGCAGCTCCTGCTGCCTGCAGACTCTGATGCTGCAAGTTGCTGTTGGGTGCCTTTTGCCACGTTAGTTAAATCTTGAGCCCTTTAAACTCTTGGAGGAAGTCTGTAAAGTTATTCCTGTTCAAACAAAGCTCCATTCAATAAATCCAGGCAGTAAAAGGGTCACACCGTCGGTCTGTGCTGCTCGAGCTCGGTGTGTTCCTCCTGCTGGAGCCTGCTGCTGGGGTGGGACTGGAGCTGTTTGCTCTAAATCAGCCATTTGTGAGAGCAGGTTGGGCTGTAGCTATTGGAGAACTCGTCTCCTGAGCAGGGAGAGCGAGGGGGGGCTGTGTGATGCCCCCAGGGAGAAAGGGGACAACTGCATTGTTCAGAGCAGAGTGACAACAAAGCTGGCATAAATTATTTTTGGGGGAAGAAGTTCATAAACATCTTCTATAATGATTTTCCTGGATTATAAAGCGGGTGACTGGCTGGCAGCACCTGTCTAGGGAGGGCAGCGCGAGATTGGAAATAGTGCCAAAAAAAAAAAAACCTGTATGGAGTTACGCAGTGGAAGCTTTTGTACCTTCATCGAAGATTAAGGTAAAGGTCCTTCTTCAGGCTGAGGTCTTGAGATGCGTAGGTCCACATTATGAATAGAAGTCAAAAAAAGGGTGCTGCATTGGCCGGGAATCGAACCCGGGCCTCCCGCGTGGCAGGCGAGAATTCTACCACTGAACCACCAATGCTCCAGCTGCTTGCACATCTGCGTGCGCAGCTGCCTGCACAGCTGCCTGCACAGCTGCCTCAGCCTCCCTGGCTGGCCAGTGGCTCTGCCACAGGGAGAGCTGGGGCTGAAGGGCTGGTTGGGCGACCTGGGACCTTGAAGTAGTTGCATAGGCTGGAGCGGGGTTACAGGTCTCTTCATTTAAGTGCGGCTGATGTGTTAAATATCTCTGGGTAAAGAGCTGTAAGTTTCTGAGGAGGAGCAGGTATTGCGCGCGGAAAACTCGTCTGCTTTTTATTAAGGTTTGTGCTGTATAAGAGTACATATGATACATGGAATATCAGCTGAAGCAATGCATGGGTGGCTGGAAAGGTCCAAAATCCTGGTGCTGGGCGTGAGTCTGGTGGGCAACAATTCCCTACCGAGCCACTAGCGCTCCTGGTGTGTGCTGAGCAGTTCTCTGCTGCCTTCTTGTGCTGTGTCGCGGTAAATGATCCTTGTAACCTGTCTTGCTGGAGCGGGTGTTTGTCTGAAGACCCGGTGACTTCTCTGCACACATGCAGCCCTAGTGAGGTGGCCCTTGAGAGTCCATCCTGGGCTGAGAGTTCATGGATGGTGTAGGAGGCTGCAGGCTGGGAGCAACAGGAGGGCAGCGAGCTGCTGTTGCATGTGAGCAGGGAGGAGGGGAGAGCTCTGCTTTCACTTGTGGGTTCCTTGAGCGTCCCTTGTTTCGGTACTGCTTTCTTTGGCGTTTGTCATGGCTGAAAAATCCCTGTTTCTGATGGCCGTGGGGAGCCGAGCTCCCAAGCGTTTGTATCAGGCAGAACCTAAAGCTTCTTGGGTGCTTTCCTCTTCTCTCCCCAGGCTGGTGCGAGAGTTTGTGGCTCAGAACAACACATCTCAAATCAAACACGTGATCCAGATCCTGTCGCAGGAGTTTGCGCTCTCCCAGCACCCCCACAGCCGGAAAGGGGGACTCATTGGCCTGGCTGCTTGCTCCATCGCCCTGGGCAAGGTAGGTGCAGGTGGGTTTTTTTGGCTTGTGTGGGTTGCAGTGGGAGAACAGCAGCTCCTCCTGGGTCAGCGTGATGCGGAGACTCGGGCTGGTGGCCCCGCAGCTCCCCGGCTCCCTCCCTGCATTGCAGCATACAGCTGGGTTGTGTTTGAGTCTTCCCATCGTATCCAGCCACATCCCTTGGGCATGGGAGCACTTTCTGGCCTGGGTTGCATCTTGGCAGCTCCCTGGGCATGGTTTAAGTGCATCTGTCCATCCTCTGTCTCCAGCAGCTGGACTAGACTCAGCAGGTCAAGTACTAGTTTGTGTTAACAGAGCCAAGAAGAGGTGAAGCTCTTCCATCTCCTACCCCTAGCTCAACTGGCTCCAGCAGCGTGTGCAGGGCCTTTCGAAAGCAGGACTAAGGTACAGGCCAAACAGTGGCAGAGTCGTAGTCAAAGTAAATAAGTGGCATAAGGTGTCAAGCTGCGGTAGCCTGAGCTAGCAGCTGTCTTTTGGGATTGGCAGAAGTTTTACTTGCTGAATGCATGGGTCAGTCAGTCCAGTGCTGGAGGTGTTATGCTGATGCCCCTTGCATGGGAAGTTGGCCGATTTCTGTCCCAGTTAAGGTCTTTATAACTTTCCTCTCGTTAACAAGAACAAACTCGGTAAGTTGCCCCCAGGGCTATGCTAAAGCATCCAGGTCCCCATGGAGGGGAGCATGGACTCTACAGGCTCACAGCTCCATCAGGCTTTTGAGTCAAACCATGCAGCTGGTTTTTGAAAGTGCCTGCAATGGAAGGAGTTGTTTTTGTCCGTAGTAAGATGTACGTCAAGGAAAGCAGAGGACTTGGAAAGAGCAGGCTGTGCTTTTTGGAAGAGCTACAAGGTGGATTTTAATTCATTTATTCCTCTTCTAACGAGAGTCACAATCAGTCTTAGCGGATGCTTTGAAGCCTGATGGCTTTTACATTAACTGCCTTTACGCTGGTGGCCAAGGGCTTCTGAGCAGCGCTCTTGTCTTCGTTCTCTTGTTAAAATGCAGAATCTCTTTGCAAAACCCTCCTCCCCAGGATGAACAATGCTCTGCTCTGCCCTTGGCCCAGGCACGTAACCCACCTTCTCCTCCTGCACAGTGTGGGGGCAGGTGCTCTGTGCTGCCAGAGCTGCTGGTGCAGCTGGCTCTGGGGGATGGAAGAATTGCTTTAGATGGCCTTGAGGGGCACTGATAAATCTCAGAGTTCGACTCCTTAATCTGCTAGTTCGCATGTTGTTGATTTTCTTACCATCTCCTTTGCTAGACGCTTGGGAAATGCCGGCCTGTTTCCCCAAAGTAGGGGCTTTTAACTTCAAAATAAGCCAGCCTCCTGCCTCTGTCTCTGGGTTTGTCTGAAGCTCCTACTGTGCTGGTGAATCCTTGATCTTTTGGGCTGGGGAGCAGCCTCATTAATGACTATATTTGCTTGTGGGCAGAGTCACAGCCAGCCTAGCATGGCTCTTCTATGGTGCAGGAGGACAAACTTCAGCATGTAAAATGAATCTCACCTGGGAATCAGAGCCCTGCAATCACTTCATCTAATAGGTGTGTCCAGCTTAACTTCACCAGCTGTGGTAGTTCCTTGCCCATAAGCAGCTGCACAGGCTGAAGCTGCTCCTCTTCTGGTAATTGGGACCACAGTTGAGTTGGTGCTTCTGGAGACAAGAGGGCAGGAAGGCACTTTTGGGACTGCTGAATGTCTGTCTTTTTGTGAAGCCTGTATCACCATCTCCTCCGTGGTCCCCAACTCCTGACATTACAAAGAGTAGCTCAACTGGCCAAGGGCTTCTTTGCTTAACTGAAGCGGCAGGTAGGCTTGGTCTGTCGCTGTCTGGGACGTTCTCCCTGGTCCTGGAAACCTCGATGGGTTTGTGCAGAGACCAGCTGGCAGAGGGGGATAAATCCTGGCCAATGGCTGACTGCTGCAAGAGCTGGTGACTGCTGGCTTTGCTGGGGATCTGCCTCAACTCCTGCCTGCAGGGCAAAGGGAGGCAGGGATGGATTTCTCTGTGGGCCAGTCTCCAGCAGAGATGAGCAGCATGCAGTGAGAAACAGACCCTCTTGCTTGGAAAGGCACTTGGGCACTTGAATAGCTGCCCAAACTTCTTTCACGTCCCTGGGAATCGAAACCAGCCGAGTACAGCTGCACTAATTGCTTCAGTTGCTGGTGTAGACTCCTTTGAAACAATTTCTCAACTTGCTCAGTTGGCTGTCACTGTACCTGAATAATAACATTCAATCATTTCAATAATAAAATTCAAAATTCATTAATAAGTCCTGTCTAGCATAGGTGCACTAAGCCATCATGGGCCTGAATTTTTGCAGTATGTTCTAGGGCAGCGCCGTCTCTTCCCTCTCCCTGTGGTATGGTCCTCAACTAAACAGTCTCCTCCTGTCCACCAGGACTCTGGGCTCTACCTGAAGGAGCTGATTGAGCCGGTGCTGACGTGTTTCAATGATGCCGATAGTCGGCTGCGGTACTACGCTTGCGAGGCTCTCTATAACATTGTCAAGGTGGCCAGGGGCTCCGTCCTCCCACACTTCAACGTGCTCTTTGACGGCCTCAGCAAGGTAAGAAGCTTCCTATCAACCCTCACCTGTTTTTATTTCCCACACTGAAGAGGTAAGACTTGTTTTCTAGTCCTTGTCTTTTCTGGGTCAAACTAGGTTGTCCAAGGTCTTCTTTCCAAGTAAACTGGTTTGTTTTGACCCAGGCAGGTCTGACTGAATGAGCAGTTTCTGCAGCAGTACAGTGGCCACTGACTATCACTTGTTCTCTGTCCTCACCTCCAGAGTGTATTTTCCTGTTCCTTGTTGAGTGGTATTAGGAAATAAGGCTGACAGAACTGCTGCAGGCAAAGGTGGCTCTGCAGCACTATGGCTTTGTGGGGTCTGTAGGGTCAAAACCATGTCTACATATGCCTGTCTTTGCAGCTTATCACTGGAAACTTGTGTTTCTCTGCTACTTGAGAATGTGGCTGCTGGCCCATGAAAACCTGCATAGCTGGGGAAGCGATGGGTGCTTGATATCCCCCTTAGGAAGTCTCTCAGGAGAATTAGTTGGAGCTTAATGAGGAGTAAAGGGACTTCTTTGTGTCTGTCCCTGTAATGCCAAAGGAGAGCAGCAGTCCTGGGAGCCTGATGGGAGCTCCACTGCAGAGCAGGGAGCAGACCTGGGACCTGCTGCTGCAATGGCTCTTGTTTCTGTTGTTCGCAGCTGGCTGCTGATCCTGACCCGAACGTCAAAAGTGGCTCTGAGCTCCTCGATCGGCTTCTGAAGGTATTTTTCACCCTCCAGCTGAGGGGGAATGCTTGGTGCAGGCTGCAGGCATGTCCTGGCTGGGGACGTGTTGGTCGCTGAGGCTGCAGCTGCTAAAACCATCCCAGCTCAGTCCTGTGGCTACCGTCAAAACATTTCTTTCTCTCACCGACTGTAGCCTCTTAGATTGAGGTGGCGATCTCAGGCAGCTGGGTTGAGGGGCTGGTAGTTATCACAGTGCCGTGCGTGTACAGGTCTTGGGAGTCGGGTGTCTAGGGAAGGTTTTAGTCCAAGTAGGGTTGCAGCCCCGTCCCAGGCAGCAGAAGGGCTGTTCCTCTGCTTTTCCTCTCTTGCCTAAGCAATTAGCAAAGAGCAGTGAGTGGAGCTGCTCTGCAAGAAGCAGGGCTGCTGCTTTGGGTGGGGGGCTTGGTTCCTGTTCCTGTTCTGCCTGCCAACGGGCTTTTGTTCACGCAGACCTCCCAGTTCCTTTTTTGCTACTTGGAGGTAAGTGGCTCCCTGCGAGGTCCTGCCCCGCTGCTCCTCCTCATTAGCAGAGCAGTTAATGCAATCTCTGCATCGCCTGCTGCAGACCTTCCTGCTGGGAGATCTGCTCCGCTGCGCTGGTGCAAGAGACTTAGCCATGCAGCAAAATCCATGAAGCATGTAGGAAGAGCTTTAAAGGAAAGCCAGGGGACTCTCCCACCCCTGACACGTGTGATTACATCAAAGGTGCTTGCTCATGTGCAACACACCACGTGAGGCATGAACTGGAGATGCTCCCACCCTTCTCCTGTTCAGCCAGGCCGGCACACAGCAGGCAGGAGCCTCCCTCTCTGGGTTCTGCTCAGCATTAGTCCTGAGGGGGATTACTGGCTCATTGCCCAAACAAACCTCATGATTCCTTCTCCCCTGGTCTCCTGACCCGCAGACCCATGCATCAACTGCTTGTCATATTTTTCCTGTCATGTGCTTTAAAAAAGGCCGGGTAGGAGTGGCTGCGCGGGCATGGGATGGCGGCCATCCCTCCTAACACCCTCTGCTTGGGCTCTGCAGGACATCGTGACAGAGAGCAACCAGTTTGACTTGGTAGGCTTCATCCCACTGCTGCGCGAGAGGATTTACTCCAACAACCAGTATGCCCGCCAGTTCATCATATCCTGGGTAGGTACACATGGCCCCACGCATGCCTGCCCTTCCTAACTCCAAAATACCATGATCCGTCAGCATCCCGTGCATGGGCAAACAGCAGATGTTCACAGCAATGTGTGAACTCAGGCACTTGAATTTTCTTGGGCAGGTTTTTTAAGCCAGCAGAGTTTTTCACCTGCTTCTTTAAAATGCCAGCTCCCTGTCTCCTCACTGTTGCAGTCACAGGGACATCATACTGCACTTTCTGCCAGCCTGGTTCAGTACTTTGCACACCAAGTCAGAAAATATGGTCAAAGTGTTGCTTGTATAAATAGATACACTATGGTCTAGAGGTTACAGTCTCCCAGGGGACAGTGCTAGACTGCTTTCCATCACCCAGCGGTGATGGAGGGATGTTGCTCTCCAGGAGGCAAGGTATCTCTACTTGCTTTCTCCTTTCTGTGCAAGGCAGGAGCTCTCAGTGCTTGGCTGGGGTCTGGGGAGAGATGCATGGCTCTGCGCCCTTTCTTTCAGCCATACTGTTTCCCATCCCAGGTCTGCCTGTATGCATCTTGGCAGTCGTTCCTGATCCCTGCTCTGTGTTACGGAGCTGTGATTGGAAATGTAGCAATGCTGCAGGCTGATTGCTTGCCTCCTGTGCTAGCCCAGCTTCTTTCCAAGACGTGCAACTCCATGCTGTCCTCTCGTCCTTCCCCCCCATCCCACACAGCTCAGCTCTGAATTCCTCAGTGTCGCACCAGATTTGTGCTGGTGATGTTAGTTAGTTTCTCTAAAACTCAGCTCTCTTCTTTCTTCTTCTTCCCCTGAGCTAGATCCTGGTCTTAGAGTCTGTGCCTGACATCAACCTCTTGGATTACCTGCCAGAAATCCTGGATGGGCTCTTCCAGATCCTGGGAGACAACAGCAAAGAGATACGGAAAATGTGAGTGTGGAGGCTGGCCGGGTGCGAGGGCTGTGTCTTGCTCACCATCTTCATTTGCTTGCAACTCTTCTGTATAACTACAGTGAAACCCCGTGTGCGTGGTGGGATATGGAGCAATCTGGCTGGCTCAGTCAGCAGATTGAAGTGTCCTTGGTAAGGGCCTCCCTTCCCCGGCTTGGGGAAGTTGTGGCTGGAGTGGCCATGGAGGACACTGTGGTCTGTGCTGTGGCACAAACTGTTCTGGTTTGGTTCAGCCCTTGTGCCCAGTATCAGAGCTGCAGAGGCTCACGTGTGCTTCTGGGATGGGGTATGAGCCCTGTGTACAGGCTTTGCAGCTTCCGAGCCTCTCTCAGCAAGGTACAGCACCAACCCAGCATCTCCTGGGTGCAGAAGAGGAGTGGGCATCATGAGCTTGCTTTTCAGATCCATTGCTGGTCTCAAGACTGAGAGGCATTTTGAAGCAGAGGAGTGGCTGGGTGTTCTCAGGAAGGTCAGACGATCCTGGCTCCTTACTCTGGGAGAGAGTTACCGGACCTGTTTTGTAGGGCACAAGTCAGTGGTGAAACTGGCCTGTGTCTATCCCGCTGCCAAGCCCTACTGGATCCTCCCTGCTTCTTTGTTTCCCAGTGTCTACATGTCACGGAACAAGCACTGAAAGCTTTAAGTATCATCTGCCCCTCTGCTCCCCTCTCTGCTCCTCATCCCAGGCTCACGTCGATCTCAACAGAGCCTGTGTGGCTGTTAGGGGAGTTGTGGAAAGGTGCAGGGGGCTCTGGGCAGCCATCGGCTCCATCCTCACTGCTGTGTGTGGTCTCTGCCTTGGAGCAGGACGAGCCTGTCAGCCTCGTCCTTCCTGGCCTTGCCCCTGCGCGGAGGCATGCGTGCCATGCCACCCGCATCCTTTCTATGCATGCATGTAGGAGGCTGGTCTCCATAACTTCTCCGTAACTTCTCTGTCCAAGGCAACTGAGCGCTAACCAGCTGCTCTGCCTCTCTGCAGGTGTGAGGTGGCTCTCGGGGAGTTCCTCAAGGAGATCAAGAAGAACCCCTCCAGCGTCAAGTTTGCAGAAATGGCCAATATCCTGGTGATCCACTGCCAGGCAGCGGGTGAGTGTGCAGGACCGAGCTGTAGCATCCACCTCTGGGTCTGCGGTGCCGGCCATAGGTTCAGGCCAGGAATTTTCCAGTGGGCTGTTCACCAGCTTGCCCATTTGCCCTTTCTTTGCCATTTTGTATGCAAACCCTGCTGAAAGTGAGGGACAGGCAGCTGTCCCATGGTTGAAACTACTGCTCTTGTACTGCTGATCCCCCAGCCTCAAATACAGGTCTGGCAACCTGTCAAAGTGGAGGCGCCTGAAGGTAAAATACCTGGCTCTGGAAGGCACCTGTGGATATCCAGCATATCTAGAAGGATCTCCTTAGGGACTTATTTTAACCTCTTGATGGCACTAGCTGCATCAGCAGGACGGTTAAACATGATGTGCCTGGTGCTTTGTGTTAGCGCTGCACTGTAGCTCCTGCGGGTCTGCCACGTAGGCAGTGGCAGAGGGTTACAGCTGCAGTTGGATGTGTTTCCTGAGAAGGATCTTGTCCCTGAGCTGTGCTCATCGAGCTTAAACTTCTCTTTGAACGTTGCTGAATGGGAGTGGGTTTCTTGTGTGACAGAAAAATAGAAATGGATTGAGACTGCTTGCTCTTGATTAAACGGATGCCCAATGAATTTACACTGTTTAAGCCTAAAATCTGGCCTGTCATTGGCTGACTGCCTCAGCAGTGCTTCCTTTTTCAGAACTTGGGGAGGTTAATAAAACCCCAGCTCTAGGAGTGATGTTTGACCCAGACACACAGCTGCTACGGGTGTGACAGAGGAAATATCCGTATAGAATCATAGAATCGTTAAGGTTGGAAAAGACCCTTAAGATCATCAAGTCCAACCGTTAACCTATTACTGCCAAGTCCACCACGAAACCATGTCCTCGAGCACCACGTCTACCCTTTTAAATACCTCCAGGGATGGAGACTCAACCACTTCCCTGGGCAGCTTGTTCCATTGCCTGACTGCCCTTTCGGTGAAGAAGTTTTTCTTCCTAATATCCAACCTAAACTTCCCCTGGTGCAGCTTGAGGCCGTTTTCTCTCGTCCTATCACTTGTTACTTGAGAGAAGAGGCCGACCCCCACCTCGCTACAACCTCCTTTCAGGTAGTTGTAGAGAGCGATAAGGTCTCCCCTCAGCCTTCTCTTCTCCAGACTAAACA